GTCAGAATAACTGCAGTAATATCTCCAGATGAACACTTACTGCACTGAAGCAGCTCAGCTTTACTTGATTCTCCATCATTCATGTTTTAGAGTCTCAAATCTGATCCTCAGGATCTTTTGAGGAGCGTTTGTTTCCAGAAGCTTTACTTTCACTGTTCCTCAGCGGAGGAATGATCTTCACGAGCCTCCAGAACATCTCACATCTTCTGAGGAGCCTTTATTTCTTCAGCTCTCAATCACTGCATTATATGTTTGGATCATTTCAATCTCATTTTACTGAGACATATTACTGGAGATATAGAGTGATGACTGATATTTAGATCATTTTATGTAAGAATAGGAATTTCATCTCACCTTTTGGCCATTTAAATATCAGCATCTGCACATATTTGCTCGTTTTGGGTTTCTGAATAAATCTGGTGTTTTTGGTCTTCTCCTCGAGTATGAGCTATTCTCTTATATCATATGAGCCTGATGAATCAAATATGATACCCAATAAAAACACGTATGCAAACTTTCTTGTCTAAAGGTTCAATTAAATTTAAATTTTCCTCCATTAAAAAAAAAAAAAAGATTATTCTGACTATTATTTCATATGTCAAGCTTTATGGTTAATAAATACACTAGCAGTCAAAAGTTTTTGAACAGTAAGATTTGCAATGATTTTTTTTTTTAAAGAAGTCTCTTCTGCTCACCAAGCCTGCATTTATTTGATCCAAAATACAGCAAAAGCAGTAAAATCTTGAAATATTGTTACTATTTAAAATAACCATTGTCTATTTGAATATATTTTAAAATGTAATTTATTCCTGTGATTTCAAAGCTGAAGTTTTAGCATCATTACTCCAGTCACATCAATCTAATATTCTGATTTGCTGTTCAAAAACATTTTATTATTATTATTATTATTATTATTATTATTTTGTTGAAAACAGCTGAGTAGATTTTTTTTCAGGTTTCTCTGATGAATAGAAAGTTCAGAAGGACAGCATTTATCTGAAATAAAAAAATATTTTGCAACACTATAAATGTCTTTATCACCAGGAAAAAAGGAGAGTTCACAAAGTTACATATAGAGGTACTACTTCCTTTCATTTCTGACCTGGCTGTGAATGCAAATATTCTGCATGCAGACCTACTACATGTGTGCCCTATATAACTACACTCTCGGGGCGGCACCTTCTCAAAACCTACACTTGTATGAAGCTTACAAAGGTGTCCCTTTTGAAAAGGTGACTTCATTTTTGGTTGTTGTGAAAACCTTTGTTGGAAAAAAACAGAACAAAAACTGTAAGTGTTGCATTGAGCTTCACAGAATGCTAACTGATGAACTGAATAAAAACACTGTAAATTAAAGACTGCAGTGTTTTATATAAAGTACACTAGTGTGTTGCTGCTAATCTGAAAGTGTATTCATATGATGCAAGTGTGTATCATTTTGTCATCAGAGTGACATTTTGACAAAGGATTGTTAGGTTTTGATAGCAGAGTTTCAATTCGACATAGATGTGAATGGTTTATTTCCCAGTGTTTTGGCTTGTGTGTAAAGTTGACACAATGAGCCGAAGTTTTGCAAAAAGTGTTCAAGCAATAGGCAAAAACTGTAAATTACACATTAAAATGCCTAAATGTATGTGTGTATATATAAAGATGAGACTTTAAAAAGTTCGGTTTTGTTCTGTTATGCACATAATAAGAGGGGTTTGAAACCGTCAAGGCTGATTATGTAACATTTAGTGGAATTGTTTTTGTTTAAATGCATTCAACTAACAATACACACTTGAAGACTCAGACCAGCCCTTGTTTTCAGTGTGTGTGTGCGTGTGTGTGTGTAATGAATGGCCAGAAGTGTAATTAGGAAGCTGCTGGGTGCAGCGAGGAAGTTCAGTCTAATTTTGTGCTGGATGATCTGACCTGGTATAGATTTATGATTGGGGGATTTAACCCTAAAGCCTGCTGTATCATATTTGATACACACATTTCTAAGGCCTCTTTTATCCAGTAAAAGCTCTTTAGTGTAATTGTAGAAACGTCCAGCTTCAGCTGGAGCTTCTCGTGTCAAATCTCGACTGATTTTTATCAAGTAAGCGTCAGAATAACTGCAGTAATATCTCCAGATGAACACTTACTGCACTGAAGCAGCTCAGCTTTACTTGATTCTCCATCATTCATGTTTTAGAGTCTCAAATCTGATCCTCAGGATCTTTTGAGGAGCGTTTGTTTCCAGAAGCTTTACTTTCACTGTTCCTCAGCGGAGGAATGATCTTCACAAGCCTCCAGAACATCTCACATCTTCTGAGGAGCCTTTATTTCTTCAGCTCTCAATCACTGCATTATATGTTTGGATCATTTCAATCTCATTTTACTGAGACATATTACTGGAGATATAGAGTGATGACTGATATTTAGATCATTTTATGTAAGAATAGGAATTTCATCTCACCTTTTGGCCATTTAAATATCAGCATCTGCACATATTTGCTCGTTTTGGGTTTCTGAATAAATCTGGTGTTTTTGGTCTTCTCCTCGAGTATGAGCTATTCTCTTATATCATATGAGCCTGATGAATCAAATATGATACCCAATAAAAACACGTATGCAAACTTTCTTGTCTAAAGGTTCAATTAAATTTAAATTTTCCTCCATTAAAAAAAAAAAAAAGATTATTCTGACTATTATTTCATATGTCAAGCTTTATGGTTAATAAATACACTAGCAGTCAAAAGTTTTTGAACAGTAAGATTTGCAATGATTTTTTTTTTTAAAGAAGTCTCTTCTGCTCACCAAGCCTGCATTTATTTGATCCAAAATACAGCAAAAGCAGTAAAATCTTGAAATATTGTTACTATTTAAAATAACCATTGTCTATTTGAATATATTTTAAAATGTAATTTATTCCTGTGATTTCAAAGCTGAATTTTTTGAATTTTTACTCCAGTCACATCAATCTAATATTCTGATTTGCTGTTCAAAAACATTTTATTATTATTATTATTATTATTATTATTATTTTGTTGAAAACAGCTGAGTAGATTTTTTTTCAGGTTTCTCTGATGAATAGAAAGTTCAGAAGGACAGCATTTATCTGAAATAAAAAAATATTTTGCAACACTATAAATGTCTTTATCACCAGGAAAAAAGGAGAGTTCACAAAGTTACATATAGAGGTACTACTTCCTTTCATTTCTGACCTGGCTGTGAATGCAAATATTCTGCATGCAGACCTACTACATGTGTGCCCTATATAACTACACTCTCGGGGCGGCACCTTCTCAAAACCTACACTTGTATGAAGCTTACAAAGGTGTACCTTTTGAAAAGGTGACTTTTGTCCTACCTTTTTTTTTCTGAGAGAGGACACTGCATGAGATAGTTTCCCACAATGCAGTGCATTTCTTGTTCTTGTCCCAAAATGATATCTTCTAAGATAACCAGGTAAGGGCATGTGAGGAAAATGTAGCACACTATTGTTGAGTTTATTGTTGCATAATTGTTGTGCTGTTTCACATTCTATTAGAGAAGTGAGCAGTAGCCAGTACGCATTGTATACTGTGCACTATTCAGTAACTGGTGCACTAGTATTTTATTGTGAACAAAATATTTATCTCGGTCTTCAGCACATGAACTGAAAACAACACAGCCGCTGAGGAAGTTTGTGTCGTGCCTCCATCTACTGGACAGAGCGCGTTACTGCAGTCTTCCGAGCGACGTCATCCAGCAGGCGGAGCTACACTTCCATATATGGTCCGTGGCGTTACTGCAGTGGGCGGGACTTCGCATCCGATTGGCTCAACTGGTGTCCATCACCTCAGGTCGCTAGCAAACGAGCTAACTAGCTCCACACAGCCAAAACACCGCGAACGAAGCATAGCGGCGATAAACCCGCGGGTTACTTATTTAAATCTATTTATTTATTTATTTATATATTTAAACATTAAATCGGTTATTTGCAGAAACCGGGACGGAAGGAGAGGTATGTTGATTGTTGTGCGAGTACTAAGTTAATTGGAAATAGCTCCGCTTACTAGAGATACAGAAACATATTAGCTTAATGTGGATGCAAATAACTACACCCAACATTTCTGTGGTATTTAACACGTTTTGGTTTAAGATATTAGTACTGTTTAATGTCTACAGACTAATTAACTTGATGAAAAGACACAGCCAAAACACCGCGAATGAAGCATAGCGGCGATAAACCCGCGGGTTACTTATTTAAATCTATTTATTTATTTATTTATGTATATATTTAAACATTAAATCGGTTATTTGCAGAAACCGGGACGGAAGGAGAGGTATGTTGATTGTTGTGCGAGTACTAAGTTAATTGGAAATAGCTCCGCTTACTAGAGATACAGAAACATATTAGCTTAATGTGGATGCAAATAACTACACCCAACATTTCTGTGGTATTTAACACGTTTTGGTTTAAGATATTAGTACTGTTTAATGTCTACAGACTAATTAACTTGATGAAAAGTGTTTTTTTCTATAAGTATATCCTTGCTAGTTCAAACCAACCTCATTTGTTTGCTGATTTGTTTATTTGTTTTGCTAACTTGTGCCATTGCTGTTATGATGAACATTAGCTAGCGCATAAAATTAACCTAATATAACCTAGTATGCCAGTTTTTGCTCTATATATCACTATTAACCTTCAAGTTTAAGTGTAACAGATCTACATGTAAGTTAACCTTTCTTGAGCATATCTATAATAACTTATAAAAGGATGAATTGATAAAATACGAGTAATAATTGCTAATAATAATTTTATGTTACAACAGTAGTGATTATTTAAAAAGTTGAAAACTGTTTAAACTAAAACGCTACTATTTATAAAGTTTTCGTATTTAATAATTATTTTTGATTTATTAACTAGCCTATCCCTTACGGAAATTAATTAACCATGGTTTTATTGTAGTAAAGGTGTAGTAACCATGTTTTTTTGGCATATTGATTACCATTTGTATGACCACAGTTTTACTACAAATACCATGGTTAAACTATGGCTAGTGTAAGGTTAATTTGTGGTTAACATGGTTTATCTATAGTAAACATGTTTTTTGCTTTAATTTGTAATAAAACCATGGTTACGTTTTTGTAAGGGACTAATACAAAATGCTTAACTGGAGATGTATTGGTGTACATAAAAAATAAATAGAGTAAACTGTTCGGTAAAGTCCTAGTAAGAAGCTCTGAGAAATGCACTTAGACATGTTGTTTTTCTATTTATTTGTGCGTGCTCCTTTGCCGGACACACACATGAACCTCTGTGTCATTACAGGAGAATGGTCGTCCCTGATGGTGGAAGTGTCCAGCCAGCGGACAGCGGTGATGCAGACGAGGTGATGTCCAGCTCAGAGCCGGAGTTCGGTCCCAATCTGACCGCGGTGGAGCTGCAGGAGGTGCGTAAGCTGCAGGAGCTGGTGCGCCGTCTGGAGGTCCAGAATCAAGCCCTGCGCAACAGGGGCAGCAAACTCACCAGCAACGGCAACCTCTCCACCGGAGCTAACAGGAATAACCTGCACGGGGCCATGGACACTTCTCCCGGAGCAGAGGATGCTGGGAACCTGGAGGGCAGCAGCAGCGGTGAGGACATGTCTCCGCTGCCCGAGGCCTCCAGGCCGGAGGAGGATGGGTTCTTAGGCTCCAAACAAACACTGGGAGGCTTCGAGCCGAGTTTGTCTCCGGATCTCTGTGATTCAGAGACACTGGGAGCGAGGGATGCGGGTATGGACCAGTCCGGCCTGGACGAGGTGGATGAGCTTGACTTAGAGACGTGCGCTCAGACCGAGGATGAAGACAGTTGGTGGGTTTATTCATCTTTTTATTGTAATCTCACGTAGCTAGGGATGTAACGGTTACCGGTTTGATGATAAATCATGATAAGATTCCCCACGGTTGGTATTACCGTTTCATATTTTAATTATCATTAAAACCGTATCCGATTACCGTGATTTGAACAACTGAGTAGGGCTGCACGATAAATCAAAATGGAATCGAGATCGCGATTCGACAGGAGCGGCGATTATCATGCGTATCTTTCAGTGAAGCACGGTTCTGTGATCAGCAGTAAATCTCCATCCAAAGGCCAGAGGGCGCTCTGCTGAATAAACAGAAGATTCAACTGCTTTCACTGATTCAGCGTGACTAATAAACACACGACTACGGCAATATACTGTTTATCTGAGTATTTATTATTATAAATTTCATTAAAATAGTGTATTTATAATGCAATGCCTTTATCACTGCTTAAATACTATGAAATATGCCTTATTCTGTGTAAGAAGACAAATGCTCCCCCATTAATTTAGATAGGATTTGGTGTTGTTTGAGCTGCCCAGAGGCGTTGCAAGTATGGTGGCCGAGTGTACGGACTTTCCTTGAAAGGAACTTTGGTTTTGTACATTTTGTGAGTGGTTGCTTGTGCGTTGTTGTGCTATGTTACTTGAAGGATCAGTTCGCATCAAGAATAAAAATTTCCTGATAATTTACTCACATGTCATCCAGGATGTTCATGTCTTTCTTCCTTCAGTTGAAAAGAAATTACGTTTTTTTAAGGAAAACATTCCAGAATTTTTCTCCATTTTTCTCTGGACTTCAATGATGCTCAACGGGCTGAAGGTCCAAATTGCAGTTTCAGTGCAGTTTCAAAGAGCTCTACTCGATCCCAGCCGAGGAATAAGGGTCTTATCTAGCCAAACGATTGGCCATTAAAAAAACCCCCCACAAATGCTCATCTTGCACTAGCTCTGTGATGCGCATGCGTGATTTGACACATTGTGTAAACACATTGGAAAGGTCACACACGGTAAAAAGTTTGGGTTGGGTGAAAAACTCCATCTGATTTTCTCCTGCAACTTCAAAATTGTTCTACATTGTTGTTTTACCTTTATTGTAAAGAGCGTTTGACTTTCTTTGCTCGTTCGTTTTGTAAACCCTGGGTCGGTAGTACTTCCGCCTTCGTCACGTCACTGCGTAATGTTTGAGGTTGAGCTAGTGCAAGACGAGCATTTGTGGTTTAAAAAGTATTAAAGTATATAATTTGTAATGTTTTTTTTTTTTTTAAATGGCCGATCGTTTCACTAGATAAGACCCTTATTCCTCGGCTGGGATCTTGTGGAGCTCTTTGAAGCTGCACTGAAACTGCAATTTGGACCTTCAGCCCGTTGAGCATCATTGAAGTCCACTATATGGAGAAAAATCCTAGAATGTTTTCCTCAAAAACTTCAATTTCTTTTTGACTGAAGAAAGAAAGAAATGAACATCTTGGATGACATGTGGGTGAGTAAATCTTTATTCTGGAAGTGAACTAATCCTTTAAGGCTGCAGTACACTACATGACTTTTAAAATTGGAACACATCGTGCACTTGCACACTTAAGAAATGGTTACAGATGAAAGCTGAGCATCATACGCTAATGACTGGGGATCACACACACACTACCAGTATTTCAGGTCATTCCCAAAACTACAAAGTCACACAGAAACATGCTTTGTTGCTACATGCATGACAAATAAAAACAATGGTTTAAAATCGGCTCAAAATAGAAAGCAGAGTCTGTTGCATTAATACACTACACAGTTTTCTGTGAAGTCTGTCAACTCATATCTGCAGATTAGCTCTGACTTTGATTTTGACTTCTGACTTTGAATGATTAGTTCACCCAAAAATGAAAATGAAGTCATCATTTATTCACCCTGTTGTTGTTTAATTTTAGTATCACTGATACCTTTTAGTAGGGTATAACCCATGTGACTCGTGTTCTGGGGTTTGGTGAAAAACAAACTAAAATTGAAAACATTATTCAACAAAAATCCTAACCTTGACTATTAGTCTTTATGTGAACCACTGTGCCTTAATGGGACTCTATTAGCACAGCAGTTCACTCCGGCTTGCCCTGGAAAAGCACACAAGTTGTGAGAAATCAAAGCATGGCGTCTCTTGCTAGGGGGTTTCTTACTGGCCCAAGTCAAAAGAGCCCATTCTCTGTGATATTCTGGTCTCTAGATTGTTTCAGCTGGCCGTTTCATTGTTTACCCATTGAAAAAAGTATGTATAAAGTACGTCTGCTGTAATTATTGTGTGACCGTGCTGTGGTTCTGAATGCGTGACAGCGCTGCATCGGTGAATGTGGCTGTGATTTGTGAGCGTCTGAGACAGTGGGATCCTCCTGTGTCTGCATGGGACGTCCTGTGGCATCTCTCAAATCAGAGTGAAGCCTGTTAGAGCTGGAGCTGTTCTTCTCTCGGCTCAGTGCAAAGTGAAATCCACTTTGTGGAAATGAAGGATTGTCAGGTGCGTTACGAAGATGCACATGGTTTGTTCTTGATTGGCAATTTCTCAAGCACCATTTTTAATATTTAACTACACCATCAGCATGCATGACTCACTGGATAGGCAGTTTACTCGTCCATTAGCATTGACTTAAATACAGCTCATAACTAGACAGGCTGCGTGTCAGTGAGGAAGAATAACAGCACGGAAATTTGGTAACACTTTACTTTAAGGTGTCCTTGTTACACATTTTACATTATAATAACAATAAATGATCAGAAGTCAGAAAGGGCTGTTTGTTGTTTACACACTTTATTTTAAGGTGTCGTTTTTACACGTTACACGTACTATTATAATAACAACTAATTATGCGTAATTACATGCAAGTAACCCTAAACCAAACCCTCATCCTAACCTTAACCATATAGTAAGTACATGTAGTTAATTAATATTACTCAGTACTTAAATGAATAATTACACTGTAACAAGCACACCTTAAAATAAAGTATAACCGAAAAATTTAACGTTTCTAAAACTGAAACCAAAGGGTGATCTTATTGTTAGTATATTTTAATAAATGTACTAATTATTAGGCTGTAGGCTTAGTTCATTCTGCATTGATTTGTTTAATTATTACAGAATTTCCAAAAGGAATTAATAATAACAAGCAGCTAATCTCTAATGCAGCTTTAATTTTCATCAGAATAATCCAGCCAGTGATCCTGCAGCGGTTTGGCACCGGCCAGCAATTAGCCACTCAATATGTCCATATCTGTAGCGTGAGGTTAATAGAGGCTCGTCTGCTCGCAGCTCTGGGGCCGTGTCTTTGGCGAGGTGGTAAGCAGCTTTTGGTGGATTTAAGCTTCATGTGATACTGCTCATTCTGGATGGTGAAAAGAAAGGATTGTTATGAACCGGATGGTGACCTGGGCAGTTTTTAATAGGATCCGTTATGTAAAGCTGTGGTGTGTTGTTTTGTTTGGGATGCTGCTTACATTGTCTCTCATATCTATTGAATGTGAAGTAAGTAAAGTAAATATAAATGCTGGTAAGATGTTCGCAGAGAGACTTCCTGAAGACTGTTAAACACTGAAGATGCCTGTCTATAGGTTTAGGGTTAGGGACTCGTCAGTCTATCCCTTCTGTTAAGGCGGCATAACATCTCTAGTGATATTATTATTACTATCCGCTTGACAGGAGGAGTGTTTGGGAAACCTGTTGATAAACAGTCATTGTATTTGCTCTTCCATTTGTGGCTAGTGGTCCAGAATTAAATATGCAGAAGTGCCGTCTTGTCTTGTTTTCACGCTTTCTGACTTAATGGCAGTGAAAGATACTTTAAATTAGGGCTGTGCGATATTGAATAAAAATGCGATACGCAATTCCTTGTTAAAAAATGCGATATTCGATATGCGATACGGTATTGCTTAAAGTGTGAAAAATCAATTTAAATTATATTTTAAAATATTTAAAAATGAAAATTATATAACCAATTTGTTTCACATTCTTTCTTGGAAAAGAAGGAATCACTACAACTTCTGAAAGTGATGAGCAGTGTTTTAGCAGTACATAAAAAGTAATGTCACAAATCAGAAAATGTAATTTTACCATCAATGTGAACATACAAACAAAAAAATTAATGACACTAATTTTATATCATTGTGACTTTGCGTTCCACACACTTTAAGTACTTCTTCATATACCACAGCAAAAACTATAGTCTGAGAAAGTTCAAACATGATTAAAGGGGTCATATGATGCTTTTTTAAAGATCATTATTTTGTGTATTTGGTGTAACAGAATATGTTGACATGCTTTAATGTTAAAAAACACATTATTTTTCAAATACTGTACATCAGGGGTGCCCAAACTCGGTCCTGGAGGGCCGGTGTCCTGCAGAGTTTAGCTCCAACTTGCCTCAACACACCTGCCTTCAAGTTTCTAGCATGCCTAGTAAGAGCTTGATTAGCTGGTTCAGGTGTGTTTAATTGGGGTTGGAGCTAAACTCTTCAGGACACCGGCC